GAAACACGGCGGCATCGCCAGCACCGAGTCCTACGGCAACTACAAAGGGCAGGTGAGGGTGTCCCCGTGTCCCTCCTGGGCTCCCCCGGGTCTCGATATATGCTCCACCGGGGCTTTAAAGCCACGGTGGGGCTGATCAGGATGAGTGAGAGGCAGTAATGGGCTCTGGGGATGGGGATGTCACCTTGTCCCCAAGGCACCGGGCTTGCTGAGGTCCAGAGCCCAGTTCAAAGCCAAGCCCTGGGGCTCAGCTGGGTTTCATAACTGCATGCCTCAGTTTCTCCTCTTGCAAAACAGGGACAAGGCTCCTCCACCCATGGGTGGTGCCATGGGTCCCTCCGTACCCTGGGGTGCAGGGGTGGAGCAGGGCTGCCCCAGGGACAGGGACACGACTGCAAGAAGCAGGCAACAGCCCTCCGGGGCTTTGGGTGCAGAGCCAGCTCCCTGTGCTGCGTGCAGCCAACGCTGCGTCGCTGCCACAACCAGGAAAACATTCCCACCGTGCTGGGCAGGAGAGGACAGGAGGGTCAGAGCCAGGATGCCGTCACAGCCCAAGTCCCAAATGACTCCCTCCACCAGAGCAGAGCTGCACGGGGAAAGCCAGGGTGGGCAGGGTCCCGGCAAAGGGGGCGAGAGGGTTCCTGATGACACAGCGTCCCCTCCCCTGGGTGCTGCAGAACGGCTTGTGCCACTATAACCAGTCCGAGATGCTGGCCAAGATCACGGGCTACGTCAACGTCACCTCGGGCAACATCACGGCGGTCAAAGCTGCCATCTACAAGCACGGCCCCGTGGCCGTCAGCATCGACGCCTCGCACAAGACCTTCTCCTTCTACTCCAATGGCATCTACTATGAGCCCAAGTGCGGTGAGTTGTGTGGCACAGGGAGGACCTGGGTGCTCGGGGAGGTGTCAGGACACTTGAGATCCCCTCCTCGTTGAGCATGGGTGGAGGAGGCAACCAGCCCCAATGCTGCCGGCAGCCCCGGGAGCGGGGCTACTCTTGGGACAGGGATGCTGTCTGGGCAAAACACATCTCCCATGTCATCCCCTGCAGCAAACGTCCCAGGAATGCTGGACCACGCGGTGCTGGCCGTGGGCTACGGAGTCCTGCAAGGAGAGACCTATTGGCTCATCAAGAACTCCTGGTCCACGTACTGGGGCAACGACGGCTACATCCTCATGGCCATGAAGGAGAACAACTGTGGCGTGGCCACTGAAGCCACCTACCCCATCCTGGCCTGAGCCACCTCTTGGCTCTGTGGGAAGAGCCCTCGGTGATGCTCTCAACACCATCTCTGGATCTCAGCACCCATCGTGCAGCACGAAGATGGGGACACAGTGGGACAGGGCCATGGGGTGCTGGACAAGGGGCAGGATGGGGACCCAGCGGTGGCCTTGCCAATAAAGACCCGGGAAAACCACTGGTTTGCTTCTACAGCAGGGATTCACTTGCTGCCTACCCAACCCTGCCCCCTTTGCAGGCCTCAGTGCCCACAGCATGTGACACATCTGTCCCCTCCACAGGTCCCTCTCCCCAAGGCTTCTTTTCCTTGTCCTGTGGGACCACGGGGGCCTCCCAGAAAGGGGACGGTGCCCGCCTGGCAAAGCCAGCTGGCTCTCACAGACAGTCCCAGACACCCAGGGTGAGGGGAGCGGCTCTTCCAGCCCTATCTCTCCGAGGTGGAGCACAAACAACCCCAGGGATTTCTGCTGAGAAGGAGAAATCCCTGGAGCGGGGTGCTGGGGAGCAGTGAAGGCATCCACCCTCTGCCCCACTGCCCTGGGTCCCTGTTGTGGCTACGGGTGGGGATGTCACTGGCAGTGTTTGCCAATGCCAGAATCCCCTTCACCTCACCAGTCTGCTCCCCTCTGGGGAGCAAAGGTGCCTTAATCCCAGAGAAAGGCACTTTACGCCGTGGCTCACTTGGGTGCTCGTAGTCTGGGCTCGAGCCCTCCTGGGACAGCGGGACTGGTGCACAAGGATGCTGCAGACAGCGTGGGAAGGTCTCTCTGCCCTGACTCTGGTGGTCTCACGCTTTTGCCGGTCTGTCCATGCAGGAGGACTCATCCCAACGCTGCGATGGCAGCGAAGG